GCACCCTGATGTGCTACGCATTCTCCAACGCGCCTAGGCATGCTTCTGATTAGGTGGTCAATGTCCTCCTGTGGTATCTCATTCCAGGCAACCACCAACTCCTCTCGAAGTGCTTCTAGAGTCTGAGGAGGACGTTGCAAATTGAGCAATCTCCTACCCATCATATCCCACACGTGCTCAATTGGGGATAAGTCGGGAGATCTTGGTGGCCATGGTAACAATGTGGCATCATTATGTTGAAAGAAGTCTATTGTGACTCTTGCAACATGTGGTCGGGCATTATCTTGTTGGAAAGTTGGATCTGCCAGGGTGTCAAGATAGGGTAAAAGATGGGGTTCTAGAACTTCGTGGATATAACGCTGCGCGTTCATGTTACCTCTGATGAAGATTAAAGGTGACCTGGAACCATAAGCTATAGCACCCCAAACCATAACTCCAACAGTGTGATGAACATGTCTTTCAACAAAAAACTGTGGATTCCTCCTTTCACCACGTCGCCTTCTAACCCTGGCACGACCATCGTGCATGCCTAAACAAAATCGAGACTCGTCACTAAAGACAATACTGTTCCATTCCTGATCCCAGAGTGACCGTTGTCTGCACCACTCAAGGCGATTACGTCGGTGTTCTCGAGTTAAAGGGAGGACCCAGTGTGGCCGGTATGAAAACAAGCCAAAACTTCTCATTCGTCGGTAAACACTTCGCATGCCAATAGGTCTTCCGTGTTCTGCAAACCATTTATTTGCAATGGACCTGGTAGTGGAGAAACGGTCCCTTAAGGCCAATAATCTTAGGCGGCGATCTTCACGGTCTGTTCTACGGCGGCGTCCAGTGCCCCTGGCTCTTTGCGTACGGCCTTCTCGAAGCCATGCCTGACAACACCTAACCACAGCGTCAACACTTCTTTGCACTCTAACTGCAATTGGCCGAAAAGAAAGTCCAGCTATACGGCCCCTATCAAACTCACTAAGTTGACGAAATCGTACAGGTCTCCGTACTCTAGGCATCGTAACCGATCGTAAAGGATGTCAAGAACCAAAATCCGCCAACGTTGATTCTTTACTGCGGCTGAAATATTATTTTTAGAGCGTTAGTGAATTAAAAAAAAAAGCAGTATAAAAACCGGAATGTCCAACTGATAAGGCTGAAAATTTTTTCACTTGTTATTTACAGTAAGATAAATACATTGACCAACTTTTATTGAAATAAAACCATTTAAACTGGGTGTTCGGATTTATATGTCACTTAGTATATAACAAGGAATTAAACGCTATATACAGTCATGCATATAGGTGAATGATCTGGTTTGCTACCTATGACCTTTCGGCAGGATTACTACGTGAAAAACCTATATAATGTCTGAAAAAGTCAACTTGCTGACCAGATAGTTCCTAGTGTGTAAATAGTTCATTTCGCTTTTACTCTCTATGAGCGCTGAGAGCGTCATCTATGGAGTAATGACGCAACGACATGCACAATGACCATGCTGCAAGCCAGTTCCGCAACATGCTTTGTTGGTTGCCGAGCTAGTGTGTAGAGTATACCCCTAAGAAGATGTGACGGAGAGAAAATTGTTTGGGTAGTCAGATCGCATATGGATGATTGTGTGTGTTGGTCAGCGTATACCAAGTTCTCGAGGCCATGACAATTCGGCCAAAATGTTAACGAAATTTTCATAGAGTTGCCCTGCTGTATTGTGTTGGATATGCAACGTCGCGTCGAATCGAACTAACTGGCGTAACTGAATTTTCTTCAGTAATTAATTCTAGCCGAGAGTATTTATCATTCGGAAAGAAAAACAACGTTTCTGTTCCTAGACCACGCGCTAACAAATATCACTTGTCACACCAAAGCAGGCTTCCATGACAGCTAGTGCACCGGCTAAAACGAACAGAAGATCCATGGTATGCGACATGCGCTGATTGGCATTAAGCCCCCTACACGAACTCATGAGGCTTCTTTCAAAAATTAAATTTCTTTAGTTAAAATAAAATTTCCTCGTCATGAGCGGACGAACTCTTCCAGACCAGGAATATTTATTATTGAGCTACATTCAGTATAGTTGCTTGCAGTGGCGTATGCAGGGTATTTCCTAATTGAATGTCAATATTTACAGAGCGATTTGTGGGTCCATTTCACGGAAAAAACTCCGTATGAACTTATTATTGTGCTAAACGTCTTATCTTTTGAGGCACGGGGTAGAAAGGTTTTCAAAAATAAATCAGATATAATGAAATTCTTTTATACATTATGTATCAAGATGCACTTTTCAATGTACCACATTTTTTTTAATTGTCACTGGTGGCATTCGTTTGGAGTTTCACCTGCCTACTTTAATTTCTAAACAAATTTGATTGTTTTATATGCACAGTTTTCGCTTAAATAAATAAAAACTGTTTCTATGAATGTAGAATAACTATTAGAAAGAGCCCTATTATCTTTCCTGCTTTTTGACGTCTGTTTTGACGTTTGAAAGTAATAGAACAAAACCACTTTCTGTTAGCTGCTCTACGCCTCATTTTGAACAATTGATCTGCAGTTTTTCTATAATTTGCTATCAGTTATATGAGAATTATATGACTAGATATTCAATCCAGCAATGTTTGAGATTATATGCTTGAAATGAACGTTAAAATTTTACCCATGTGTCTTTTATAACCGGAAAGCAATGATATTATTCTTTTTATATTAAACGGTACCTACTCGCTCAGTCCATAAAATCGTGCAATAAACAAGTACGAGCATGAAATCATAAAATATACCACCCATGTCGCTTATCAATTCATCTTACCTAAGAGCTATAATTACCTATATCTCCTTTCTGCAAATTACTTCTATAAATGTACACAGTACACAGTACACAGTTTTCTATTTAGATGGTATTTTTAACAAGTTGCAAGAGATGTAACCACCACAGTAAATTGAACGTATAAGGTGCCATTTTGAAGGTATCTTTATCAACGGTTGTGGAAAGTACCAAAATCTCCAGCAGTTGAAACCGCGAGCAGAAATCTAGTTCCTAAAACCTCATATGCCAATTATAGACATTTTTTCAACGTTGATATTGCAAAATTCTTTAAGGTTATTTCCATTTACCATCAAGAATATAATTCCGATATAAAAATCAGTGGGATTTCTTCCACAAAAAAATCTATTCTTGGCTAGTTAGCTTGATTTATCTCGCGAGTTTGAAAAAACTGCACTTTTAGACATTTAAATAGACTTCGAATTACAATCTTATGAATAATCTCTAATAACATCATTTTAAAATAGTGTGTATATTGCGGGTATCTTTATTTTCATGAAGGAAAGAAAATACAATGGTGATGTTCCAAGATTTTCATGAGACATAGTCTAAATACTTATATGTATGTTAAATAAACACAGACGCAAACTTAATGAAAATAGATCATGGTATCAAAAACATTTATTTTACATGTGCTTTGTAAAAACAAGTTTCGGAATGTAAATAAATATAAATTTGAAGATCGTTTCGATCGAAATACTCAATGAAACCAGTGGCGGAACCATAGGTAGACTTAAAAATCTTTTAAATCTCGTAAGTTCAAATTCAAATTCTTTTATTATCCCAAGAGACATTACAAAGTATGTATAGGATTCGTCTCGAAAATGAATGGAATTTTGATACAAAGAAATACGGCACTGGTATTATGTAGCTTGAAAATTGGCATTATGTCTGTTTGTTGACATATCGTAGGTTCATTTTATCAGCCTGAAATTCCCTGTAATTCAAAAAGAAAACATAACTTCACAAAAGGAGAGCACTGTCGCTGCCTCGGAACAGGTAAAACCTAGAAATACCCCAGCCTTTCTCCAGGAGAGAAAAGACTATAACAATCGAGGAGGCCATAAAGGCATCCTTCATTTATTGTAGGAACGACTGACAATACGGCCCTTAATTTACAGACCTCTGAACTTGTGAAGGTTATTCTAAATTTAAATCTTTTTGAATTTCAGAACATAAATACAGCATTGAGCCCAACATATACTTAAAAACAGCGTCAGTGACACACTTTTTATTGTCTCCGATTCAAGTTATGGGACTTGCGACGTCTTTGAGCGATTCAATAATTGACTCTGCGAGTGTGAATTTGGCAACGTGGCGGAGCGACGGGCGGCTGGCGACCGCGTCGAAAATCGTCACCGCAGTGCGTAGGAGGCGACACGCAGGCGCACGCACTCGACGCACATTCAATTTCACTCTTATTACCTTCCGAAGGACGAAATTCGCCCGTCTGTGCAGTGACGGAACACAACTGGCACGCCTGCATATGAATGAACGGTTGATGCTGAGCGACTTTTCAGTTTAGAAAAGCAGAATGATGACTAATAATAGGGGGGATGTTATAACCATGAACATGTTTCGTTCAAGATATAGTCTGATACCAATACTATATATACAATACTATATATCGTAAAATGTCTTATGTGCGAAGAGGATTCTTCTGGATTACCTTGGATGTCACGGCTTGATTAGATTACGTCACGAAATTGTAAAGTAAACTCATCCAGTCTTATAGTGAGGCTCATGTTGTTGCTCTTTAGCACATAAGAAAAACCGAAACATAGCAATTTGCTCGAAAGTACATCATATTTTTCCCATGAACTTTTTCTCGCCGTACATGAATCTGAAGTCAGAATTAGAGGTCGCTCTACAAACATGGAAATAATTTAGACGTTGAGATCACAAATTTTGGTATTTTCTCTGAGAGATGCACATCTAACAAAAATACCTGAGTTTGTAATTCCAATGTCTAAATTACTTTCATATTGATCTGTGATATGATTCTTACCGTGCTTATGACCTGTGTAATTTTCGTGATACAATTCAAAATATAGATGGAATGCCTAATAGGTTTATAAACAAAATAAAATAGTAATTTAGGAGTTTGCTTCCATGCAACTTCCAAGAACTATTTCTCAATTTTCATTCTTATATTTGATGCAATGTTTCTCTAACTCATTATTTTTTATTCCAGGTAAGCTTAAATACTACTAGCCAAAAACAACGGGAACTGAAAGGGTGAGTTCAGAAAACTCAAGTTAAGCGCACTACTGGAATATCCTTATTTTGTAAATTTTGGGATATATGATGATGTATCCCCTACTCTTCAATCTTAAATCACACTACCCTCCATCGAGCTGAACATCTTCCTTTCTTCCTAAACATTTATTAGCCCTGATGAAAGCGAAAAGTAAACAGCGCAACTTTAGCAATAACATTTTTAATACCTATACCTATACAGGGTGTTAGGAAAATAATATTCGTAACTTTAAGTGGTGATTCCTTGCATTATTCTAAGCAAAAAAGTTCATTATAACCTATGTCCGAAAATCAACCGTTTTGGAGCAAAAAAATGCTGAACTTATTTCTTTTTAGTCATAAAATAAATTAATTTAGCACCTAAATAATTTAAATTCATATGCCTAATAGTGTAAAATGTATCTATACATATATTTATTAATTAACTGTGTCTAATAAAATAATTTTCTTGCTTATTAAATACAAATTTCCGAAGAAAAACAGACAAACAAAATCCTTCACACGGCTGGCAACGTCGCACTCCGCCTTCACTGCATGTATCATCGCGTGTTGCTGTGATTACTAATACTGTAACTTTATGTGATTTACGGATGTTGTTTTTTTCTTTTTTCATGAATCGCATGGTTTCAAATAAGTGACTGATAATCGTAGAAATTGGAGGTGTGTATCGGCACGTACCGGTAAGTTATTATTTTTTTCAAGTAAATATACGGTACTGAAAGCGTTATTAAATAAAAAATATTAGGAACAAAACATTGCGTAAACGTATTCAATAATTCAAGGCATATTTTCAACAAAAATATACAAACGTAAACAATTCGATGAATCAGTTGCGGTCGTCGTTCGCTCGTATCGCGGATGCATTGCAGCGTTGCCAAATGTTTAAGAAAATTTAATTATTTACGACTCACTTTCCTCGAAAACGATTGATTTTCGGACATAAGTTATAATGAACTTTTTTGCTTAGAATAATGCTCTTAAAGTTACGAATATTATTTCCCTAAGATCCTGTATATCAAAAAGATCAAAAAAATTAAAGGTGCAATACGGGGACTGGTATAAGAACTTATTTCTGTTGAAAAGCAATTATTGTCTATTATTTACACATTATGCTCATAAAATATCTCAAAGGTTCCAACCCGCATTCACCTCATTTACATCCGTTCCTCATTCATACGTTCTCATTTCGATCTCTTAAGATCCAGATGAAAAGCGTGGAAGACAAAGAACGACCCACCCGTCCCTTTGATGAAAACGTTATACGTCCAGCGTCCACCTCTTCTCTCTTCCATCGGCCATTGTCTCTACACATTCCCCCCTTGTACCACGCACGAATAAAACATTTAAAGTGTTTACAAAACCTTAATTATTAACGGACAAACACACTTTGGCCGCGGACAAAAGAACGCCTGGAAGATGCCAAGGGAGACACTGCAGTGTATTGTGTAACGATACCTGGACAAAGGCGTAGGTAAAGGACAAGTTTTCGGATTTTGCACTTGGAGAGGGTTCACAGAGGAATTATCGTATGCACCCCTTCGTGTGTATGTGTGTGCGTGACCTTACTCAACTGTTGGGACGTGAGTCAAGTAGGTCGGCTTGGCAGATCACAGTTTACTTTCCACCATAAGCAAGAGACTGAATCCAAATTCAAGATGAGATGTAAATAATAACAGTTAGCGCGTGATCTCTCGGTAACAGGTGGGGACAACGCCTCTTATTGGTCAATTCGCCATTAAATTTCAAGCGGTCGCCTGGCGGAATAATGCGCGGGGCAGGGGCAGGGCAGGCAGAGTTGCATTCAGGCCACCGACCGTCGCGTGTATCACTGCGTGCTCGTGTTTTCGTATTCAAGTGTATTTGAGTAATTTGTTAAGTTTCTGTTTGTTATTGTTATTCCTCGTTATTATTTGTTTTGAACCAATCCGGAACATGTCCAGTACAGATACTGCTGACGAGGCTGTAGGCTACTCCCTTAGCCCTCCTAGAAGGCGATCAAAAAAGACATCTTAGCGTAGACATGAAAGACGTCATATTGAATACAATCAAGATAGAGCGGAAGGAAGACGAAACATCAACTAACCCGAAAATAACTCTGAAAGTGGCAGATAAAATTGGGGTATGCCAAGCGACAGTGTACAATGTTTTGAACGAACATAAGAAAAAGCATGCCTTTTCCAAGCCAATGACGGGTAAAAATCGCAAAAGTATCATAAGATCGTTGGATGATGCTGACAAGCATGCGATTCGGAGGAAAGTGCACGAGTTCTTCTTCAGAAACGAAATACCGACAGTTGATAAAGTACTACGGGAGGTTAATGAGGATGCTATGTTACCAAATTTCAAACGTTCGACTATTTTGAAGCATCTTAATTTCGAATGGAAGAAACGAGGTCGTGACAGCTTACTTATGGATAGAGAAGAAATTGTTCTGTGGAGGAGAGAGTACCTGACCAAAATTAAATCATCCAGGAATCAGCACAGGAAGATCTATTACCTGGACGAATCCTGGATTAACACTGGGCACACTACTCCGAAGGTATGGGTTGCCAAAACTGTGACTTCCAGAAGGGCATTTCTAGATGGACTGTCGACCGGATTGAAAAATCCAGCAGGTAAATAGATCGAAGTAGTTCACGGTATCAACTTTTGCGCACAATATCTCTCTATCTTCGTACCTACAAGACGTGCATGTGTACTTAGCGGATTTTATCTTTCTAGGCAAAGGAAAAAGGCTCATTATTTGCCACATTGGGGGTGTAGATGGCTTCGTGGATGACGGCTTATGGTCTTTTGAGTCAAAAAAAACCACTGACTACCATGAAGAGATGAATGGGGAAGCATTCGAGAAGTGGTTTTCAGGCATTTTACCACGCCTCGAAGACAATTCTGTGGTTGTTTTGGATAATGCTCCCTATTATTCTCGCAAAATAGAAAAAATCCCAACTTCAGCTTCTAGAAAATCAGACATTCAGAGCTGGCTCCGTTCCAAAAATATAACTTTCGACCCTTCCTTACTGAAATTACAACTATTAGATATTGCGAAACACACAGACCAAGACATGATAAATATGTCATAGATGAAATGGCCAAAGCACACCACAAAACAGTACTAGGTTTGCCGCCTTACCACTGTGAGCTCAACCCCATTGAGCTCATATGGGCAGATGTTAAGAATTTTGTTTAAATTTTCTGAAATGCAAGAGCTGTTCAGAATTGCTATACAGAGGGTCACACCAGAAAGATGGCAAACATGTGTGTGCAGCATGTTCAGGAGAAAGTGGATGTAGCAATGTGGGAGCTGGACAACATAATTGAGAGAGATTTTGAATCCATCATCATAAACATTAATGACGATAGCTCTTCAAGTGAGTCTGAGTAAGTTTCGCGTTTTTGTTTTATAGCTATTTTCAAGTTATCAAATCATGTTTTAATTTAACAGCTAGAGCTTATTCTGTGGTTTTTGTGTTGATAAATATCCATGTTTCTCTAGCCGTAGGTTTGAATTGCTGTTTACTGACAATGTTTCGGTCACCGCGGTGGCCTTTTTCCAGTACATATGACAAATCTGTGTAATATGTTTTGTCTTCCAAGTGACTTTCCTTTTGTTTTTTACTTCCTATGGCAAGGCTGACGAGGAAGTATTCTAATCTAATAAAAAATCGAAATTGAGATATGTTTTTTGGATGTTTTGGACATTTACATCACGAAAAACCATGTCGCTCATTTCCATCGGTGTGTCTGTTTGACCGCTAATTTTATAGCCGCCTATAACTTGAGAAGTACCGCTCGGATTTCGATGAAAGTTTTACGCAAGGTTTTAAGAGTCACCTTTTATGACTTCATACAAAAAACAGCGGCGTACAATTATTCTTTTATTTTTAAGTTTCAAACAATACGAATAGTGCATTTTCGGAACAATATTTGTATCGGGTTGTCCAATAGGGACTTGACAACTTTGAACTTCCACTGTGAACGCACCTTTAAATCAATTACCAAAATGTCTATGTCAAAACATTCGGTAAAACACATTTTCATCATGGTGAAGTACACGAACGAATGACGCTTACAAATAATTAAAATTTACTACCGAAATTCCGGGTCGGTGACAGGAGCTTTAAGCATCCCACAAACCGGCGCGAAATATTCGCTTTGGCTGCGAAAATTTCGCGGCAATGAATTCGCGATCAGATTAAAACGCGGCGTTTTAGGGACAGGCTCAGACTTGTGCGAAGCGAATGCGATTGTTCCAGCGTTTTTAACGCGGCGTATTTCAGTTCGCCTTTGACCGCGTTTTTGACGCCGTTCTTTAAAAATTCGCAATGGCAAAAACGGAATTATTGATAGAAATAGTGAAAAAGTATCCTTGTTTGTATGATTTGTCGAACGATGAATACAGGAATGTGAGAAAGAAAGACAAGATTTGGATGGAAATAGGAAAAGAATTAAATACAAATGGTATGTACCTGATATTTTTTATTAACTTGTTAAATAATTTACAGTCTACACAAATGTGAAAACGAACATTCTATATATTGGGCATAGGCATATCAGAATTAAAATAATTTACGAATTTGTCACGAGTAGAAAATGCTAGCCTTGCTGCCCGCCGAGGATCATTTCCTATATCAGTAAAAGCTCCAAGCACGGGTTCTGGGGGATCTAAGAATTGAAAATATTTGTCATCGCCACTTTTACTTCGTAAAAAATTGTGTAAAACACATGCCGTACGTACAATTAGAATAGTAGTATCTACTTTAGATTCTAATGGCCTGTAAAATATTCGCCATTTTTGAGACAAAATACCAAACGCATTTTCCACGACCCTTCTAGCTCGACAAAGTCTTACATTGTATTTCTCTTTTCTGACGTCTGTTAAAGTCTGCTTATAAGGAAATGGTCTCATAAGGTATGGTTTTAAAGCAAATGCTTCATCACCAATTAAGATGTACGAGCAGATTTCAGTTTGCCCAGGGAGAAATC